AGGTACACTGTTCTTCTGAACAATGTCTGGAATGACCCATTTTCCTCAGAATTTCAGAGAGAAATGCACTGTAACCAGCATGTACAACATTTGCTGCCTTCCTTCCTTAAATAAGGGCAATAATTGCCACCTGTTTTTCAAAGAATGAATGACCTCACTAATAGAACTCCACACTGCTATTATTTTGAACATGCCCCTTTCAATTAGTGATTCAATTACACAGAATCATCAGCATGCATGTGATGACTGTTGGGTCTGTTGGATTTCTATTACTCCACTACACCTGCTAGTAAATTATTTGCCATGTAGAAATATCATTTCTACCAACCAAAAACAGTGATTGATCAGGTTATTGATGTCTGACTGCTAATATTTTGAACACAACTGTATATATATATATATATATATATATACAGTCAGGTCCATAAATATTGGGACATTGACACAATTCTAACATTTTTGGCTCTATACACCACCACAATGGATTTGAAATTAAATGAACAAGATGTGCTTTAACTGCAGACTGTCAGCTTTAATGTGAGGGTATTTACACCCAAATCAGGTGAACGGTGTAGGAATTACAACAGTTTGCATATGTGCCTCCTACTTGTTAAGGGACAACAGTCAATTACAGCCTGAAGTCTAGAACGCATAGACATCACCAGACGCTGGGTTTCATCCCTGGTGATGCTCTGCCAGGCCTCTACTGCAACTGTCTTCAGTTCCTGCTTGTTCCTGGGGCATTTTCCCTTCAGTTTTGTCTTCAGCAAGTGAAATGCATGCTCAATCGGATACAGGTCAGGTGATTGACTTGGCCATTGCATAACATTCCACTTCTTTCCCTTAAAAAACTCTTTGGTTGCTTTTACAGTATGCTTTGGGTCATTGTCCATCTGCACTGTGAAGCGGCGTCCAATGAGTTCTGAAGCATGTAGCTGAATATGAGCAGATAATATTGCCCGAAACAGCAATTCATCCTGCTGCTTTTGTCAGCAGTCACATCATCAATAAATACAAGAGAACCAGTGCCATTGGCAGCCATACATGCCCACGCCATGACACTACGACCACCATGCTTCACTGATGAGGTGGTATGCTTAGGATCATGAGCAGTTACTTTCCTTCTCCATACTCTTCTCTTCCCATCACTCTGGTACAAGTTGATCTTGGTCTCATCTGTCCATAGGATGTTGTTCCAGAACTGTGAATGCTTTTTTAGATGTCGTTTGGCAAACTCTAATCTGGCCTTCCTGTTTTTGAGGCTCACCAATGGTTTACATCTTGTGGTGAACCCTCTATATTCACTCTGGTGAAGTCTTCTCTTGATTGTTGACTTTGACACACATACACCTACGTCCTGGAGAGTGTTCTTGATCTGGCTAACTGTTGTGAAGGGTGTTTTCTCCACCAGGGAAAGAATTCTTCGGTCATCCACCACAGTTGTTTTCCATGGTGTTCCGGGTCTTTTGGTGTTGCTGAGCTCACTGGTGCGTTCCTTCTTTTTAAGAATGTTCCAAAGAGTTGTTTTGGCCACGCCTAATGTTTTTGCTATCTCTCTGATGGGTTTGGTTTTTTTTTTTTAGCCTTATGATGGCTTGCTTCACTGATAGTGACAGCTCTTTGGATCTCATCTTGAGAGTTGACAGCAACAGATTCCAAATGCAAATAGCACACTTGAAATGAACTCTGGACCTTTTATCTGCTCATTGTTAATGGGGTAAAATTTGGGATTAACACACACCTGGCCATGGAACAGCTGAGAAGCCAATTGTCCCATTACTTTTGGTCCCTTAACAAGTGGGAGGGACATATGCAAACTGTTGTAATTCCTACACACCGTTCACCTGATTTGGATGTAAATACCCTCAAATTAACCTCCCTAGTGGTCTGATTATGTCCATATTTCTGTGCTCAAAGCGGTACATTTTTTTGCATGGAAATATTTTTTTTTATTGTAGGCCTGTAATTTTTAGGAATAACTCACTGAAATCTGTCCGAACAAGAGTCTAGTAAACATCCGGGTATGATAAAATTTGAAACACGAAATCATAAATTATAATTTAATAAATATTCATAAAAAATAATAATATAATAAATTTAATTCAATAATATAATCAAACCAAAAACACTGAAATTTGAAATATAGCGCCAAGTTCGCACATCACTGAGCAAAGTCGCAAAATCGTTTTCAGTGTCTGATGACGAATTTCCCCACAAATCATTTTCACTCAATTCTGCAAGTAGTTCTAATTTACTATCGCTGTTCTCTAGCTGGTCTAAAACCGGTTTTGACCTAAAGGGACACTTTTTGGACGCCATAGACATTTCTCAGTTTCCAGGCAGAAAGAACGGTACAAATGCAGGCAGGGCACAGGACAAAGCACTAGGGACAAAATGTATGTGAAATGGTTTCATACAGTAATGTTTTACTATGTGATTTTAGTGTATTGAGTGAATGTCACTTTTTGTCAATTTCAAATATCCCGCCGTTCTGTCCCCCGTACGTCCCAACGCTTGCAGGGGACGAACCCAGATGACACATGCCGGCATCCGCCGGATTACATTGCCGGGGACACTGCAGGAGGGACATTGCGGGAGCGCTGGACAAGGTAAGTGAAGAACAGATGCTTGAGCAGCGCTGCATGGTAAGCCCGAGTGTAGCCGGGGTTACCGCTTTTGGTACTGAAACTTTACCCCGAGCTACACTCGGGAATATCGTCAGGGAGGTTAAAGCTGACAGTCTGCAGTTAAAGCACATCTTGTTCAGTTCATTTCAAATCATTCATTGTGGTGGTGTATAGAGCCAAAAATTTTAGAATTGTGTCTATGTCCCAATATTTATGGACCTAACTTTCAAAAGAAATGCATGTCTAGCAAATTATGCACTGGATTTGCATGAGGGAAATAAGTATTTGATCCCCTATCATTCAGCAGGATTTCTGGCTACCAGGTGTCTTTCATACAGGTAACAAGCTGAGATTAGAAGCAGTCTCTTAAAGGAAGTGCTGCTAATCTCATTTTGTTACCTGTATAAAAGACACCTGTCCACAGGAGCAATCAAACAATCAGATTCCAAACTCTCCACCATGGCAAAGACCAAAGAGCTGTCCAAGGATGTCAGGGACAAGATTGTAGACCTACACAAGGCTGGACTGGGCTACCAAACTGTCGCCAAGCAGCTTGGTGAGAAGGTGACAACAGTTGGTGCAATCATTCACAAATGGAAGAAACACAAAACAAGTGTCAGTCTCCCTAGGTCTGGTGCACCATGCAAGATCTCACCTCGTGGAGTGTCAATGATCATGAGAACAGTGAGGAATCATCCCAGAACTACACGTGATCTTGTCAATGAGCTCCAGGCAGCTGGGACCACAGTCACCAAGAAAACAATTGGTAACACACTACGCCTACAAGGATTGAAGTCCTGCAGTGCCTACAAGGTCCCACTGCTCAAGAAAGCACATGTCCAGGCCCGTCTGAAGTTTGCCACTGAACATCTGAATGATGCAGAGGAGGAGTGGTTGAAAGAGTTGTGGTCAGATGAGACCAAAATCGAGCTCTTTGGCATCAACTCAACTCGCCGTGTTTGGAGGAGGAGGAATGCTGCCTATGACCCCAAGAACATTATCCCAACTGTCAAACATGGTGGTGGAAACATTCTGCTTTGGGGGTGTTTTTCTGCTAAGTTAACAACTGCACTGCATAAAAGGGATGATGGACAATGTACCGTCAAATCTTGGGTGAGAACCTTCTTCCCTCAGCCAGGGCATTGAAAATGGGCTGTGGATGGGTGTTCCAGCATGGCAATGACCCAAAATGCACAGCCAAGGCAACAAAGGAGTGGCTCAAGAAGAAGCACATTAAGGTCCTGGAGTGACCTAGCCAGTCTCCAGACCTTAATCTGATTGAAAATCTGTGGAAGGAGCTGAAAATTCGAGTTGCCTAACATCAGCCAGCAAACCTTAATGACTTGGAGAGGATCTGCCAAGAGGAGTGGGCCAAAATCCCTCCTGAGATGTGTGGAAACCTGGTGGCCAACTACAGGAAACGTCTGACCTCTGTGATTGCCAACAAGGGATTTGCCACCAAGTACTAAGTTATGTTTTGTGAAAGGGATCAAATACTTATTTCCCTCATGAACATGCAAATCAGTGCATAATTTGTTAGACATGCGTTTCTTTTAAATTTTTTGTTGCTATTCTGTCTCTCAGTGTTACAATACATCTACTATTCGATTTTTAGACTGATCATTTCTTTGTGAGTGGGCAACCATTCAAAATCAGCAGGGGATCAAGTACTTATTTCCTTCGCTGTATACACATATACATATACACACTATATTGCCAAAAGTATTGGGACGCCTGCCTTTATACTCACATGAACTTTAATGGCATCCCAGTCTTAGTCCCTAGGGCCCACCCTTTGCAGCTATAATAGCTTCAACTCTTCTAGGATGGCTGTCCACAAGGTTTAGGAGTGTGCCTATGGAAATGTTTGACCATTCTTCCAGAAACGCATTTGTGTGGTCAAGCACTGATGTCAGACGAGAAGGCCTGACTCGCAGTCTCCGCTCTAATTCATCCCAAAGGTGTTCTATCAGGTTGAGGTCAGGATTCTGTGCAGGTCAGTCAAGTTCCTCCACCCCAAACTCAGTCATCCATGTCTTTATGGACCTCGCTTTGTGCACTGGTGCGCAGTCATGTTGGAACAGGAAGGGGCCATCCCAAAACTGTTCCCACAAAGTTGGGAGCATGCAATTGTCCAAAATGTCTTGGTATGCAGACGCTTTAAGAGTTCCCTTCACTGTAACTAAAGGGCGAAGCCCAACCCCTGAAAAAAACAACCCCACACCATAATTCTCCCTCCATCAAACATTACACTTGACACAATGCAGTCAGGAAAGTACCTTTCTCCTGGTAACCACCAAACCCAGACACATCCATCAGATTTCCAGAAAGAGAAGCACGAATCGTCATTCCAGAGAACACGTCTCCACTGCTCTAGAATCCAATGGCGGCATGCTTTACACCACTGCATCCGACCCTTTGCATTGTACTTGGTGATGGAAGGCTTGGATGCAGCTGCTCAGCCATGGAAACCCGTTCCATGAAGCTCTCTATGCACTGTTGTGCTAATCTGAAGGCCACACGAAGTTCGGAGGTCTTTAGCTATTGACTCTGCAGACCGTTAGTGACTTCTGCACACTGTGCGTTTAAGCATGCGCTGACCCTACTCTGTCATTTTACATGGCCTATCACTTGGTGGCTGAGTTGCTGTTGTTCCCAGTTGCTTCCACTTTGTTATAATAGCACAAATAGTTGACTGTGGAATATTTAGTAGCCGGGAAATTTCACGGATGGATTTATTGCACAGGTAGCAACCTATCACAGTACCATGCTTGAATTCACTGAGCTCTTGGGAGCGACCTATTCTTCCACAAATGTTTGTAGAAGCAGTCTGCATGCCTAGGTGCTTGATTTTATACACCTGTGGCCATGGAGGTGATTTGAACACCTGAATCCAATGATTTGGAGAGCTGGCCCAATACTTTTGGCAATATAGTGTGTGTCTGTGTGTATATGTGTGTATATATATATTATATACACATATTATATACACACATACATACATACACACACCCACACACACACACACACACACTATACTGCCAAAAGTATTGGGCCAGCCCTCCAAATTCGGGTAGAATGCTCAACTACTATTAAAAAAGGCGTTAACATCCCATTCAATGTTTAAGCCAAAAGGGGCATAGGCTTTTAATGTATAAATCTCTAATTTTGAAATCTCCCTTCTGGTATGACTGCCACGCCAATTAGGGATAAACCTGTCAATACCCAAAATAAGTGTGCCATTAGGAGTTTTTCCATGGCACAAAGCAGAGTGTTTAGATAAACTATGGTTTGGAAAACATTTCCGTATATTAGCAAGATGTTAAGGTTGCATCGTACGGACCGTGCAGTCCACATATTGTAGACCGCATGGACACTGATTTAGATGTACTACATACTTGGAAGTGCAAGAGATGAAAGAATTAATATCATATGTAATGGAAGTATGGTTTGATGTAAAGGACACTGCCTTTCTGCCCCTTAGACTATTGATATTGCAAACAGCACACTTTCTGCATGGATAAAATCCTTTCATCTGGCCAAAAAACTAAATTTTCTTAGGTGGTTCAACAACATTAGGGGAAATAAATAATCTTAGTGGGTGAACACCTCTATATATAACCCTGGGCACTTCAGGTAACATAGGACCCAAAATCCTATCATTTTCCCCCATTGCTTATGAAAGATATATGTGTGTGTACTGTGACTTCTAGGGAAGGTGCGAGACTTCATCTGCATGCTTGTCAAACCACAATTTAGCAACACCAGCTGTGTGAATCAGAGCATTATTGTCCTGGTAAATGGCGCTGTCTTCAGGAAAAAATTTATGCAGGCCACAATTTGTACATAGTCGCTGGCAGTGACTCTACCTTTCAAGGTGATGATGGTGCCTGCAGAATACCAAGATATGAGTACCCAAACCATGATTTCACAGCCACCATGCTTTACCGTTGTCACAAGACAGTCCTTGTCATAAAATTGAGATGGTGTTAACCACACAGAAACACATCTATTAATTGGGAACAGTGTGAAGCTGGATTAATTGGAACATATTACAGTCTTCAATTGATCAGTAGTCCACAATTTATGGGTGTTGCACTCTCTCCTCTTCTGAGCATTAATATCAGTCACTTGTGGTTTGGCAATTGCAGCTCACCTGTTATTGCATTGTTTATGGAGTTCCCTCCACAGTTTTTGTGGGCATGGGCTTTGAAAGACTGGGCCATTAATATTCCTGGCTATGTTCTCTTTCGGAGAGACAGGGTAAAAAGGAAAGGTGGAAGTGTCTGTCTCTATGTGAGAAGTAATCTCGGAGCAAGTGTGAAAGAGGACCTAGTTGATGCAGAGTGTGATGAGACTGAAGCATTATGGGTGGAACTGCACATGGGAGTACGTACTACAAAGGTAATGGTTGGAGTTTGCTATAGGCCAACCAGTGTTAATGAGGAGGTGGAGACACAGCTCCTTGCACAGATCGAAAGGGTTGCAAGGGCTGGGACAGTGATAACAATGGGGGATTTTACCTACCTGGAAATTGACTGGAGTAATGGCACTGCAGGAACAGTTAAAGGGCAAAAATGTATAAGCCTACTACAGGGTAGTTTTATGGTACAGTTCATAGAGGCCCCAACTAGGAATGATGCTCTGCTGGACCTAGTAATCTCAAACTATTCAAAGCTTATTACTAATGTCCATATAAAAGAACATCTAGGTAGCAGTGACCATAACATGATTTAATTTATTGTTAGCTGTAAACAACAACCACCCACGGGAAAAATAAAAATGCTCAACTTTAAGAGAGCTAATTTTCCAAGGCTGAGAGAGCTGCTCTCCAAGACTTAGACTGGGAGGGAATATTGACATTGATGAACACAACAGAGAAATGGGAGTTCTTCATAAAGACAGTATGTGAACACTCTGCAAAATATATTCCCAAGGGCAACAAGTTTAAAAGACTAAAAATCAAACCTATGTGGCTCACGGCCAAAGTTAAAAAAAAGGTAAATAATAAGAAAAGAGCTTTTATTAAATATAAAAATGAAGGAATGCTATCATAATTTAAACATTATGAAGAATTGATCAGAATATGTAAAAAGGAAACCAAGGCTGCAAAAATTGAAAACGAACGGCTGATTGCAAAAGATAGCAGGACAAACCCCAAAAAATTATTTAAATATATTAGAAGTAAAAAGGTCCAGTCCGAGGATGTAGGCCCTTTACAAAATAATCTAGAATGGGTGACTGGGGCCAAAGAGAAAGCAAATTTATGAAATACCTTCTTCAGCTATGTGTATACAAAGGAGCATGGGGGAGTTCTTGTCCATAATGGGCATAGTATTGACACAGCCCCAGATGATCCACATTGGCTCACAATTGATATGATCCATAAATAATTAGACAGAATAAAGGTGAATAAAGCACCTGGACTGGATGGCATACACCCACGGGCCCTTAAAGAATTGAGCTCTGTAATTTAAAAGCCATTGTTTCTAATTTTTAGGGACACTTTAATGACTGGCATAGTACCACTAGATTGGCGAAAGGCGTGGTGCCAATAATTAAAAAGGGATCAAAATCTTTACCAAGTAATTATAGACCTGTTAGTTTAACATCTATAGCTGGGAAGATACTGAAGAGTTTAATAAAAGACCACATAGATGAGTTCTTGCTGGAAAAAAGTATTTTAAGCAACAGACAGCATGGATTCATGAGAGACAGAAGTTGTCAAACAAATCTGATTTCTTTTTATGAGGAGGTAAGGTAAAACCTTGGACAGAGGGGTGGCTGTGGACGTGGTATACTTGGATTTTGCAAAAGTGTTTGACACAGTTCCCCACACACCTCTAATGTGTAAGGTAAAGTCTACGGGCTTGGAAAAATCGGTATGTAAATGGATAGAAAACTGGCTAAAAGATCATATTCAGAGAGCAGTGGCTAATGATTCATACTTTGAATTGTCTAGGGTTGTTAGTGGTGTAGCTGAAGGTTCAGTGTTGGGACCCTTACTTTTTAATATATTTATAAACGATATAGGGTCTGGGATTAAAAATACAGTTTCAGTCTTTACAGATGACACCAAGCTGTGCAGTGGAATAATGTTCTTACAGGATGTCTCCAACTTACAAGCTGACTTCAATGCACAGTTTATTTGGGCAACTATGTGGCAAATGAGGTTTAATGTTGATAAATGTAAGGTTATGCACTTGGGGGCGAAGAATATGCATGCATCATACATGCTAGGGGGGAGTACAACTGGGGGAATCAATGGTGGAGAAGGATCTGGGAGTTCTGGTAGATCATACGCTTAATAATGGCATGCAATGCCAAGCTGCAGTTTCTAAAACAAGCAAAATCCTCTTGTATTAAAAGAGGTATAGAGTCTAGAGAGATATCATTTTACCCCTTTACAAATCATTGGTAATACCTCATCTGGAATATGCAGTTCAATTTTGGGCACCAGTTCACAAAAAGAACATTGGGGAACTGGAGAAAGTGCAGAGGAGGGCAATCAAACTGCTAAGAGGCATGGAGGAGCTCAGCTATGAGGAAAGATTATTATAGGAACTGAATTTATTCTATCTTGAGAATAGGAGATTAAGGGGGGATATGGTCAACATGTATAAATACATCAGTGATTCATATAGTGAACTCGTTGTAGAGTTATTCACCCTGAGGTCATCATAGAGGACAAGGTGGCACTCTTTACTTCTGGAGGAAAAGAGATTTTAATTTCCAAATACGGAAAGGTTTCTTCACAGTAAGAGCTGTGAAAATGTGGAATAGACTCCCTCAAGAGTTGGTTGTGGCCAGCTCTGTGGATTGCTTTAAAAAAGGCCTTTCCTTGATACACACAATATAACTGGATACTAACATTTATCGATAAAGTTGATCCATGCAATATTCGATTGTCTCCCGGGGATCAGGAAGGATTTGTTTCCTCTGCAGGAACAAATTGGATCTTGATTTGCTAGGGTTTTTTTTTTTGCCTTCCTCTGGATCAATTGTAGATATAGGATTATAACTTTTTTTTTTTTGGTTGAACTAGATGGACTTTTGTCTTTTTTTCAGCCAGACTATGTAACTACTGAGCTCTGCAGGCACTTTTGCAGCAGTTGTTTTCTTATGCCAGGTCACAATCCCGCACAACGTCCTTTTGTCTCTTTTATTCAGTTGTTAATAGTTTATTTTTATCAATGAACCAAATGGAAAATAAATTAACAGAAAGGAAATCCAAATCAAATCAATATTTTGTATGACCACTCTCGGCAGGTAGGTTGTCCCAAACATCTTGTAGAACTAACCACAGATATTCTGTGGATGTAGGCTGCCTCAAATCCTTTTGTCTCTTCATGTATACCAGACAGATGATGTTGAGTGTAGGGCTCTGTGGACCCCACTCCATCACTTCCAGGGCTCCTTGTTGTCCTTTACTCTGAAGATAGTTCTTAATGACATTGGCTGAATATTGGGGGTCATTGTCCTGCTGCAAAATAAATTTGGGGCCAATCACACACCTCCCTGGTGATATGATGGAAAAGTATCTGCCTGTATTTCTCAGCATTGAGGACACCATCGATCCTAACCAAATCCCCAACTCCATTTGCAGAAATGTAGCCCCAAACTTGCAAGGAACCTCCACCATGCTTCACTGTTGCCTGCAGTCACTCATTATTGTACCGCTGTCCAGGCCTTCACAAAAAACTGCCTCCTGCTACAGCCACATATTTCAAACGTTGGACTCATCGGTCCATAGCACCTGCTGCCATTTTTGTACACCCTAGTTTTTGTGTATAATTAATTTGCTTAGCCTTGTTTCCACGCTGGAGGTATGGCTTT